TTGAAAATTGTCGAAAATGTCCAGAACCATCGTGTAGGTCAGTCAATGATCGATCGAGATGAAGCTGGTATGCTTTTGCGTTTTCTAGGGTAGAATTTGCACCAGAAACTTGTTTTTTCACAATCTTTGCTTTCGAAAGAATTAGTCATTTAATATAACATTTTGAGTCGACGTAACAATAATAACGGAGAAATGCTATCACGAAATAGGCGAAGTCCCTCAAAAGTCGTAGTATACACATTTAGCTTTGTCCAACGGAAAATTCGCAATCTTTATGAAGGGTAGGGGTCGACTGCACGCTGCACAACTAGCGCAGTAGAACGAAGGGAATGAATTGCGGTACGAAACCTGCTTCACGCGTCATATCCATCTGACCTTTCGCCGGCCCCCTATCATTGTTCCAAACATAACTGCTCGATAATTAGTTCTAAAACAAGTCTTCTAAAACAATAAACAGCTATCCTGAATACCTTTGTAGACGTTATCGTTTTATCTTCTACCCGAAGACGTGTGAATTCCAATTTCTTTTTTGGATTACTCAGCTTACACAAAGCCTTTATAGAGATCGTATTCAGGTAACGTTCCGTCGTCTTCTTCAGAGCCAATTGATCCGTTAAAAAATCTAATTGTTCTGACTCTTTTGCTTTGAGTTAGAGGTTCAAATTTTATCGCTGCTTTTGCTAGCCTTAATTAGTGTGTCCTAAATATAGATTAGGAGAGACTTTACTTAGGAATATTACCGAGGAAGACAGCGTGTCGTAATGCAATGCCCACCCTATGAAATATTGGCGCATTCTGATAGTATGAATCGGCATTGTTTGACATTGTTCGTGTAGTTAATAGTGTTGGTTTGGAAACTGCTCTGTTTATTCTGATAAGCACTTGCTTTGAATAACCTTATTGTTTCTATAGGTGGAAATCTGCGCTAAAGTGCAGTTCCGCCTATAAGCTCCTTAAACATGTGTGATTTGAATTGAAGAATATTTAAATCAGTTGGCATTATGAGTTACTCGGGTACTTATTATGTTTTTAGAGTTAGAAACAGTTTCTTATCGCCCATTAAGTCTTCTCCTAAAATTCGACTGTTTGTCAGTTTTGCGGGCGTGCAACACGAGTGTGAGAGCCGCTTATGTGGATTAGCTTCACTAGTCGCCTTACTTATAGCTAAGAAGATTAGATTAAGTTCGCTGTGGTGAAGTGTGCTCGCTATGATATTGCAACAATCCGGCCATTGTGTACGGTGAGAAGTTCAAATAAGGAGACAAGTTGTCAAGGAAATGATCTAGTGTTTGTCGTGACATTGTTTTCTTCTGTCGGGAATCGTGCTCGTCGTTTCTTGTAGTGGTTTCTATTATACGAATCAAGTTAATAGTGATTCTATTATAACAATGGTGTGCGAAGAACTCTATACGATCTAACATTTCATAATTTGCACCTACCGAACATCTTCATTTGCTTCTGCACTTTAATAAGTTCTTATTTACGTTTGGTTGCTTTCGTTTCACTGAAGTCATCGCACACTTTCTACTATCTGCGCTTTCAACAGTCTTCTCAAATAAATAAAGACATCATTTAGTACCAGATATGATCAACAAAGGTATCAAAGTTCGCGTATGGCGCAGTGGTCGGAGGCGCCATGCAAATATTATACGTAGGATCGACCATGCCCAATGCTTACCAAGCCTTCCATCCCTCCGAAGTAGGCAAATTGGTACCAGATTTGCCTGGGAGGATAGCAGCACTGGCTCGATACATTGATAGGCCACCACAAGTCATTCTAGAAGCCAGATATATGCATTCAATCATGTCGCATCACTCAGGGATCGATCTACACCGAGAGCTTTATCCTTTTTATCATTTGTTTTTTGATTTAGGTGTTTGATATAATCTTGTAGTGTTCTAGCTGATGGTAGTTGTAAGCATTTAAATGCTGTCAGATAGTTTTTAAAATATATTGCGTAGAATGCTCTATGAAGCTTTCGGCGTTTTTGAATTTATCGAGAGAAATTTCTATCGAGCTCTCACCCCTCTCACTTATGTATCTTCTCAGTTTTTGATTTAATGCAACGGTTCATAGAGCAGGTCATTATTGTTTGTGCCCATCGACAGTAAGTCCAGTGGGTCTCAAAATTGAACTTCACCGTAAAAGTGGATTACATATTTTTAATTCCTTCGAATTAACTTGGATCTTATCGGCGTGATGTTCAAGGGTTTCCGAACCCGTGTATGAGCTTGGAGTGCAAAAACTTTTCAGTATGACGTCAAATATTACATGAGCTTCTTTGAGAAATTGCATTTCACTGGAGGTCTTATGAAATGAGATGCGTGATGTGTTTTTGCAGCTATCCTTATTTTGTTCAGCGCAGATGATGGGTGGCCGCGAAATAGTAAGTTTCATTCGGAGCCTGCTAATGTCGTTTTGCGTCTTGTTTCTTTCCTGAATATGTAATGTCAAGTAAGAGTTGAGCGACCTGTGCCGTGGTTCCTTCAATTTCTTATGTTTTATTTGTGCTGCTTCGATAAATCAGAATGACCGCTCCTTTTTCCCCCGTGACTTCATGTTTCACACAATTGATCGCCTCGTGTGGCACATGTCCTCTTACATAAAAACGAAATGTGCATGGTTGAAGTGTTGGTTGATGCAGGGATTAGGAAGTGGTACTCATCAATGTGGTTCTATGACTTCGTGCGAGTGATTTCCTTGCTGATTTGTCCGGAACCGCTGCTGTGCTTTTTAGCCATGTTTCTCTATTTATTCGTAAGTGTATCATTTCCTTCTCGTTAACTGCCCGATATGAGCGAAAAAATCTCCGGGCAAAAATAACATCGTTATTACAGCAGTAGAGTTGTTCTTACATGCGTTTGAAATTGTGCATCGTTAAACGAAATGGTGTCCCGAGCAGCGGATCCTTCGAATATTTCGGGAGGTCTTCTTATTTGTAAATCCACGAAATCTGAGCTGGGGCGCTGTTGTGATTATCTTACTTGTATAGAAGTACTTGTAATTGGTCTTCTGATCAATTTTGTTGTTCTTTTTTTTACGTTTATCGTTAGTTAAGCTGAACGATATGTTGACGCTGAGTAAGCACTAACGATTTGAGGGTGCACATGAAGGATGTTTGAGGGAAATCCTCATATCTTTCACTGAGCAGGACTTTGCTTGGGGGAAATCCTTGTGTCTTTCAGTGGGCAGGACTTTTTGTAATAGTTCCCAGGATCGACTTTCTATTAACCTCGGCACTGGAATATGAATGCGTCGTTTTCTTGTTCAGCAATCGCGAGGTTTTTAAAACAGCATACATTTACTTCTATAGAAAAACACAATACAATACAACACTAGCTGACGTCTCGGCAGTATCGCCTTCCTCAGAGCCGCTTTTTTTTTTCGTGACTTCCAATTGTGTTCTGTCTTGCTCCGATTGGAATTCACGCTCTGAAGCGGCTCTGAAGAAGGCGATACTGCCGAAACCTCAGCTAGTATTGTATTGTATTGTATTGTGTTTTTCTATGGAAGTAAATGTATGCTGTTTTAAAAACCACGCGATTGCTGAACACGAAAACGGAGCAGGTCTTTGTTTGCGAGAAATCCTTGTATCTTTCAGTGATACAAAAAAATAATGAGCAGGACTTTTTTGTAGCATTTTATGGCGGAGCAATTATGGTCTCTTAACATAAGACTGACTTCCTAAAACTGATTTTAGACGACTAAATATGTAAAGCACAATATGATACTATTTATTACTAGGCACTTGAGACATCATGGAGTTTATAAGATGCGAAAATTTGGATACTTGCTAATTGGTTCAAAACTAATAGAATATGTGATCTGTTCGCACATCTGTTCTTCTCGATGACGGCGGCGTAATTCGCCTAAGGACGTTTTCGATTTTTATGGGGATCAGTGATGGGTACTTGTAAGATGAATGCCGCCTAATGTTTGGCGTCGTCTGGTCTCGGGTTATGGGCTATGGAGAGAAACGAAAGGTGGTGATGTTTGTATGTGGTATGATCATGTTGTGATGTGTGCATTGCTAAGACTCGGATGGATTCGCATGAACCGAAGCACTGCGGACTGACATCGTCCCAGTCCGGTCGGGCCTTGCTTCGGCTGTCCTCCCTCATGTGGCGAAATCAATTCGCACTGGTCGCTTCGTTACGTCGAATATTCACCTCATTGATGTTTTTGCAGAGGGCGGACACAGCAAATTGCTTGATTTATTTGCTCACATGAAGTGTTGTCAGTCATCCTCCACGATACATACGCGAACACTGGCGAAGAAATCGCCGTTTGTCGTTGTTGTATTATGAGATTCCCCTCTGATTTTTGAACGAGAGCACGTTAGCCGTACAAGCTGCAATCCGACAAGGATAACGTGTTGTTTCGATATTTCAACTTATTGCTGTTCTATTGACACTTTCTCGTTTTACAGTACCGCCTTTTATCCCTCCTCTTATCCACACTACCTGGATGAGCGCTATTCCTCACACAATCTCGTTTGTCGCGCTTTGTAAGACAGTGATTTTTTTTCGCGCTAAAAGCGCAGTTGGTAATGGCGAGAATTGGGACCGTTTCCCATAGGGAGATTCTCTGTTTGCCAAGTTTGCTCAGTGGGGGTGTGTGGGGTGTGTGTAATTTCGTTCTTCTGGTGCTTTCATTCTATCTGCTTCAGTATGTGCATTTATCTCATCCACTCTTTGCGCTCCACGACTAAACAACGGTCTTGCGGTCCTTCTCCTATATTTCAGCATAACAAGTCGTGCAACCTTATTTTGACGAGATCATTAGTTTGAACTGCTCGAATATTCTGTAGCTTTAGCGAGCTTAATACTGGATCATTGCTGTTTATTCCGAACATTAACAAGCGGAAAGTGAAAGCCCATCGCTTATTGATCGGTTCGTTTCTGCGACATTTCTTCGCTCGTCGATCATTACAGTTAAACATTTGGTGCACGGGAACTCTTGGCTGGGATATGCGATGAATCACTTCGAGAACAGATTAATGAAACAAATTGCTGACGCATTGGACGACTCTGGATTCCGTGCAGAGACAGTTTCTCTTCGATCTTTAAGTTTGAAATCGCAAACTGCTTACGTCAACGATGAGCACTGCTTTATGATGAGCGTCGTAATGCCTACAATAGCGCCGTCACAACTCAGTAGCATTGATGATCAGCTTTCAACTCCGTGCATTGGACCACTATCTGACGGCAACTTCACAGGAACCCGACCCGACATGTCGATGGACACTACAAAACAGGACGCAATAGGACCACGATCATTCGTCGTCATGCTGACGACGAGCTGTGATACTGTGAGAAGTCGTAACCAGTTCAGTGCCTCAGCTCGAACTCACACTTGATTTTAATAACAGTAGCGATTTTCGCACTCGTTTGTCAGACGATTGGCGGCTGAGTTGACGCCGTTGCCATCGTGGCTGGCGAACCGGTTTCGGACTACTTTGTCTGAGCACGTTTTTCAGTTATGTCGTCGCCAATCCCTATTTACACCCCTTCTTATTGATCGACCAAAAAATTGATCGATATATTGGATACATATGAACACTTGCAACAGCCCCGTAATTGTGAGCTTAAACACTGCTGTTGTTTTTTCCCGTCGTCAATTATATGATATTTGAGCTAGTGCAATTGCACTGTTGCATTACGGTGTTTTGAATTTTTAGCGCGTCTTTTTTAACCCTCACTGCGTTGTGCAAAGGAAAAGGCGGAATATTTTCTTTTTAATAGTGGATGCATAGTTGTGGCTCGTACCTTGGAATGTGTGCATTTATGGTAAAATGAGTTTCATAGGCACTTCCTTCAGCACAAACGAGACCGATGTAAAGTTTAGCGTACACTGGAATCGAAAGAAAGGTTTCCTTCTGAGCTTTTTTTAAATCACTGAGTTACTAAACGTTAGATTTTGGGATAAATAAGGTCTCTCCTCATTTCGTCAATGTTTAGCGATCGTTTTGAGTAGGCCGTTTTGTTTTCATCTAGATAATACGTCAGTGTGATTGTTTTCTTGTTGGTTTTCGAGCACATGTAATTCGTTTATAGGTGTTAGTTTTTCCGTCGTCATCTGTTACTCATCTTCATCTTTCACGCTTGCAGAACATCTCATGTCGTTCTCTTGTGGGGAACATTTGGAAGCGGTACGGAAAGAAATGACGGTGTTAGCGAATCAGCTGCAAATGAGCAAGCAAGAGGTGGAAAAAGTGAAAATGGTTGGTGATTTTTCGCATTGCTTCATACGTTTCCAATAACCAGGGAGAGCCAGAAGACACGTGTGCGTATTGTGTTTTCTGTCATAACACCTCCATGTTCGCGCTAGGCTTTGATGTGAAGACCCGCATTTCATCGGACATTGGGGAATACTTTGGTAAAACGGTAAGAAGGACAATACATCAGAAGAGATTACCAAGCCATTCGTAGTTGTTCAAAGTTTGTCAGCCCTGGTTACACTTGATACACCATTCCTGGTGAGAGAATAAAGCAATGGGTACACCCTAAAAGTAACCAGAAGAGCAGTTTTGAAACCTTAATTACTACTTACTACTTACTGAGTAATGTACATTGTTACCTGTATCACCTGTATCACCTGTAGTCCCGTTGATCGAGTGACTCGAGCGGGTGTTAGTAAATCTTCCATTTTTTCCTGTCGCGTGCAAGAGTAGCCCAGTGAGTTTTGCTCGCTCTAGGGACTCGTCGAGCATCATATCTTTCTTCAAGGCTTTCTGTGAAGAACTCTGACCATCGGATCGGTGGTTTTCCTGTAGTACGTTTGACATCCGGAGGAATTCAGTCACTAACGGCTCTTGTCCATCGGTTGTCAAATGACAACCGATTGTTACCACTAATTTTAATAACATAAATGCTAAGGACTCTTATTGAGTTAAGAATTTATCGTTAGATGGAAAGGTCTAGTTTTGTTTTAGGAAACGACAAATTTCCAGCAGCAACTCAGTGCGTTAAGTGAGCAAGCTCTTCAGAGCCAGGTAAAAACCTTCGTAGATATTTGATGGTTTAACGATTTCTGTGGCTTTCATGTACGGGTTATTATTTTCTTCACTCCAATTATATTCTTTGTTCCACACACGTGTTTCTACTATTCTTTCGAGGTTCAAGTGGATGCATATGTTGAGAATGTCATCTAAAAATCGTGGTTTTCAGTGAACTGTTCCTATTTCAGATGGAAATTGTGAAAAACCAAGAAGCCACAAAGCGTTTACATCATATCATATCGAGTTACATGCCTATGCTACCGCCAGAATATCAGGTTAATAATATTGTGATAGTTCTCCTTATGATTCTCTCAAGAGGCTGTATCAATGAAAAATTACAACTCATACATTGTTTCCAAAAAGTCTGTTTGGAGCACACGGTTTCCATTTCGAATTTCTATTCCAGTTCGTAATATGGAACAGTATCCCAACGGTTAACCGCCTCATCGTGGCTGGGTGGTGTTCTTGGGTGCCGGGTTGCGATGTACAGCGGTGGATTTCCCTCCTCGGCAGTCCCTCCCAAGCTGAGAATGAGTCCGGCGTTTCCATCAGGAAGCCCAGCTAATGGTAAACCAATACCAGAATCCGCCACCGTCCTATTACCAAACTAGTTGCATGGTGGCAAATCTCCCTCTGATCCACAAGGGCAGCGACTACCCGTGGTGATGACGACCTAGGACAGACTTTGGCTGGAATGACCTCAGGATTCCAGGGGATCACAATGGCTTAACCAGCAAATCTCCGAAAAATGGAGAATGTGCTGGGGTCTGCGCAACCAGTGAGGACGAGCCGTTCAAGTATCCATGTAAGTAATATTGAACATTTCTAGGCATTCACCTTAGGAGAACTGGAAAAAATTCGTCGTGATGAAGCACAGTCTCAACAGGCACAAGCTGCTATCCTGATGGGTGGAATGCCAAATATGATGATAGCCAGGTGATAGTTTATGTTTACTGGCAAACATATATACACGTATTCTATTATTGCACTTCATCCTGGGATCACATCGTTTGTCTATTTAATTCTCTAATGCGCTTTAAGCAATTGAAGGGTTTCTTAAATATAAAAGTACCCGGTCATTATCGATAGAGGGTAATACTTACGAGCACCAATTTTAGATGGTGATGTTAATGCTTAATAGCGCTTATGTTTGTTGAAAGTGATGGTGTATTTTTTGCATAATTACCTTTTTCCGCTAGTCCTCACCGTTAGTTAAAATATGTGGTCTTTCAAGATGGTATGCATATCTAGTATGTCTCACATCAAAATATTTGCTTAAAGGAAATAGTATTTTACAGAAATCCTATGATGATGGCTACAATGGGAATGGCAGCACTTCCCGGAGGAGCCACGGCTTCCCCACGTATGACGAAACCTGGCGGTGTGCCCAATGGTGCACAAAGTGGAATGTCGGCTAGCATGGCAAACGGTATGGCGGCAGCAGCAGCTGCTGCGGCTGCTGGAATGACCGGCATGCCTCCAGCGATGGCCGCTGCAATGCATATGCCTCCTCAACAAGCTGCTATGTTACAGGGTACTCTGTCTTTGTGCTCTTTACATTTATAATTTGCTTAGTTTTCCTTGTCTTTCAGCGCAAATGATGATGGCAGCTGGTATGGGTATGGCAATGCCCGGAATGCCTATGCCGACAGGAATGGGTATGCCACATGCTATGAACGGTATGGTTCCACAGATGTTACCTCCAATGAGTGTCGCATCTGGAACCGCATTCCCGAATCTTACGCCGCAGGTTAGATTTGCTTTTCATACGAACTCATCCACCGTTTCCATGTAAGTTTTTCCTAAAGCTACATTACACTTCCTCCTCTTAGTCAGCGGTTTAATTTTTTCTAAATTTGTTTTCCATCCATTCTTAAAACGAATTGGCTGATACTTCTAAGCATTATGGTTGTAGCCTTATGTTGTCACGAGTTAAGCTTTGTTCGCTTTGGCTTGAGCAAACGCTTCGGAACACTTGAGGTTTTACCTACAGTAAAGGCTATGTGGAAGTTCCTATTTCCGTATTGTAGTTGACGCAAACAAAAAAAAGAAAATCCAGTCTAAGTTGCTACAGGGAGTAAATTACGTACCTTTTCCGTATTAAAGTGTTGTGTACTCGCTATGAGACTATGTTGTACTGATTTTTTTTGGATGATAAGAAACATCGTGGAATGGTATTAACACATAACCCCCAAGCTGATTCTTCTACAGCTTCTCTTCTACAGGTAATTCTGCCATCACTACAGTATTCGGGAAAATCGGAACTTTATAGAAGAGATTACTCTATTGCATCAATTGCATGTATATATATATATATGTATATGTATATATATGTAAATCTGTGTAAATGTATATGCATATGAATGTACGTGAATATATACATATGTATATGTACATCTATATATATGTGCGTATATTTATGAACATATATATGTATATGTTATATACATATGTATATACATATATACTTATATATATATACTTTTATATTTATATATATATATATGTGGTCACTTCGAATCAACTGCATGGTATACAGTACAGTTATGGTGTTACGTGTTAAAATACTTCAGTAGTGCAAGGTGTGATCATTCGCTGTTATATTTCAGATGAACGCGGCCGTCTCCATCCCATCTCGAAATCCGTCAAATGGTGCTCTAAGCGCCGCCCATGTTTCGGCGACAAATTCGCCACGACCGGCCGAACCTCTAACTCCGCAAACCAGCGTTGCGGCTGCTATTCCCGTATCAGGTAATCTAAAAGACGAACGTCTGCAGCCTTCCCCAGCAAAACCTGCTGAGGAGAATGTGTCGGTTACTTCGTAAGTAAATTTTTTAGTTTGTACGTGTTTAGCAGATCAATAACACATACTGCAATAGTTTATTGTCTGGTAAGATGATGTCCAAATTATGTAACGACTGTTTTTAATTTAAAAGTTGGTACGTTTTATGTTAAAAATCCCTATTACCACTACTTTTCACCATGCTGTAGCATACATGCAAGTGTAATTCTATCCTCTATGTCCTCATTAGTACTTAAAACCGTTTCAAATTTCCTTTGTGACGTTCCCCATGACATTGGTGTGATTACTATGTCGTTCACACTGCTCATCCTGAAGTTTGTTTTTTTCCATGTTGAATTCTACTGTGAGAGCAGATTCTAGTCAAAGGAAAGCGTTGCCTATGTTCTTCACTTTGTCCCGCCTTTTTGAACGAGTATAGGTGACGTTAGTAACTGTGCCGTTGAGAGTGTGAGTTTTTCAATTTTATATATGAGCGAATGATCCCACTAGTCTGCGCATAACATTTGGTGGTTGCCGTTACCACATGTCAGTGTCTTGTGTGTTATACGTTAGTTCTAGAAAATTTAAGGAACGACAACGTCAATTTAGTACTAGCGAAACCTCACGCTCCCTAATGGTATAGGAACTGAACGTCGACGTAGTTAAATGGTCATTCTCAACAGTACCATGAGCTATACCTTGATTGCTTCCAGTTTACCACGCTGTGTATTCTCTACGTTTTAAACTCGATTGTATTTGTGTTCATGTCACAATACCTTTGGTGGTTCTAGAAAGTTCAAATGTTGTATCACATTGTCGACGAGTATCTAACGCTGCTCAGTATTCTCATTTACTGCTAATATGCATTGTCTACACTAATCTCCATTTGCAGAACTAAAGCGGCCTACCCATATATGCGTTTGAACCGCCAACTAGCTCCATATTTATTGGCGCGAAGCCTTCGCATCGAGTAATCCAGGCATTAAGTACTAAGTTTTTCTCTCCGCCTCATATTTTGTTTGTATATGCAACGGGTCATTCCCGATCTTGTAGACCGTAATGGCAGTGTGTCGCGATCTCGGGTTGTTGTCAGAATTTTCGGATTGTTGACGATCAATAAATCGATAAACAGCGAGTAATTTGAGAGTTGCAGTGTAGCTCAATCCATTACGTCATTACAGGAATATCCAATTGTTTTATCAGCATACAATATCATTCCGACATAATCTATTAATAGGTTAAGTGAGACTGTCAAATTGAACAAAGGCGGAAGCGTAGTAAATCTACAGAGCAGCGATCATTTCTGGGACCGCTTTGAACAGATCGGCTTTCAAGCCAAAGTCGGCCACCTGAATTTATTTCAAGCTGGTAGTAAGGTCAGTTGAATGCAAAAGCAGCTCACAATCAGATTAAAGGCTGAAAAGGTGAATAGTTACCTGGAATATTGGGGCATCAGGATCCTTGTTGATTGCGACGATAACCTAAGAAATTTAGCTCATTCGGAATTTGAATTAAAAATCACAATATTCTGAAGGAAACTGGAACAACCTTGCTATCTTTCATTCCTGCTAAATGCTGAATTGCACCAGAGATTCCTACAGCGATATACAGCTCCTGCGATTCAACTGATTGAAATTGCATAAGAAAATCATGCAAAAACAGATTGGACACGGACAGACTATGAAGGCGTTATATAATATGTATACATATATATATATATATATATATATATATATATATACGTATACATATATATATACATATATATTATATATATATATATTATATATATATATATTATATATATATATATCCTGAGTCTCCTGAGTCTTGAAACAGAATGAAGAAAATGGCTATAACAAAGTTAGACTGAAGAAAAGTATGCATTGAAATACCTACATACGAATAAGGCCCGATAACATTTTAGCCTTTGGGCGGGGTGATAGTTCACGAATCGGAAGATCGCGTGATTAACGTCAGCATTTGTAATCAACTTATATTATTTTACGGACTCTCTTTGATGAGTTAACACGACGTTGTGAATACGTATTTTGATGTTCGATGGCTAACGTTTCGGTATTTTCTTCTTGAGAGCCTAGACGTACTGTAATATCCCATCCCCTATTCCATAGGTAGTCTGTAGTGTCTGCGAAATTCAAATGTATAAATCAAACCCTAGTTTATTAAAAAAAAAAAAACTACTGTCTTCGTTTAGAAAGAGATCATCCATACTTTGTCCACGCAGCATGGTGGATCAACATCGCCCAGATCAGAAAATTAATCTGCGACAAAGCACTAAGTCACGTATGGCTTTCATTAACACTACAAATATTCACTGGATAATAACGACAAGGCTATTTAACAATGTGTCTGGGCTACGAAGATGGCGAAATCGCCGGAACAGCCAACGAACATCAAATTACGTGATAACAGCCTCATCTAAGCCCATCAAGCCGATACGTAAGATAATACTCCGTCTCAGAAGTTTTGCCACATCACCACAAATGTAATGTAAAGCTTTGGAAACGTGACAGGTTCTCACGTTTTCGCTTAGCATTACGTCGAATTTCTTTTCAGCAACGGTGGTTTTAGCTAGACGCAAATAAACATCTGTCAGTCACAAATAATATCTGTCAAACAGACAGCCTGGTTCCCACTGCGTGCCCTTACATCTCCAAAGAAAAAGATGAAAATAAACCTGCTATTCCACTATGCCAAAATTCAATTTGGAACTCACTGGAGCAACTATCTTCCCTGTTTGTCCGACTTGCATATCGTTGTGGACGAAGCCAGCATCAACGGCTGCACGTGATGCACCGACTCCAGCACCAAGTTTATCGGCTAGATCATAAATGAGCTTAACAAAAGAAATTTTAACATTACTTGAAAGGCAATTGTCATAAAACAGACTGAGACTTACTTTAAAATTGTCACCACTTTTTAGTCCTCGTCCACCAGAGACAACAATCTTAGCGGTGGTGAGATCGGGTCGTTCAGATTTACTTAATTCTTGACCGATAAATTCTGATGACTCTACCTTGACATCAGCAGAAGGAGCTGAATAGAAGCTCAATAAACACATTGTGTGTATATATGATTTAGCAAAGAGTATCCTAATCCATATCAACACATACTTTCCTTCTGACTATGACACTCCTTTGACGAAAAATGATAGACGCACCATTCAAAGTGACATCCAATCAAAATAAAACTTACAGAAAGCCCTTGGTGAACTAATACGAAGTCGCTAGAACGTCTTACTTTTTTCTTCTCAGTGAGTCAGCCTCGTGTTAGTTCATCAAAGACAGTTCGTAAAAAGCACGCACCGTTCTCGATAGAGCCGTTCCCGCCCTGTGATGCTGGTGTAAAAGACGTGCTCCGGAACGTCATAACCTTTACAGGCGCTGAACTTTGTACCTGGATATACCACTTTCCAGAAAGTAATATTGAAAATCACACCTTTGCGTTGTATATTTTAAAGGACGGAGCAATCACATATCACAATAACACTAATGAAAAAACTACTTGCCAAAAAATTGTTGAACTACATGCAAATTACCTTAACAATAGCATTTCCTGCGTACTGCGTACGAGTGAATGTATCAGCAGAGTGCACCTCAAATCTCACTCTAAAGAGACAATGGAGGCAGCGAAGCGGAAATTTATTTACCTCCGTAACTTCACTGATCGGTGCACAGTCAAGCTTAGCCGCTATTCGGGGAATCACGCTTCGTCCGAATGCCGATGCACCAGCAACTATTGATGAAAAGTTGAACTGCTTTTGTGAAGCGAGTACGACAGGTGTAACACGCTCTTCAAGAATCAACACTTTCACCACCAAACTATATTCAGTATGGAAAAAAAACTGCGCACCAGGCAGATTGTTTTTGAGTTTATCGTCTTGAGCGACAAGCACCTTCTTAACACCAGATATCTTGGCTACCTGCTCAGCGACTTTCGATGCATTCGCTCCAGTTACGAGGACAGCGACGTCATCTCCAAGCTGTGCATGTAAATATTCATCTTACATCAGTTAAACTTAAGAGACGGTGCTAATGGAATAACGACATATTTTGACATTTTCAATCGACAGTTCGACAGATCCAATGCAGCGGGACAGTAACGGAAAAACCATATGTGTGTAGAATGGGTCTTCAATTTTATCATAATGAACAAGATTCCGACGTTTAGCACTATGGTGTCCATAGCGGTTTAGAGCAAACGACCATAAGGACGGACACTGTAGTATCTACATCCAGTTTAGTGGGTTTCAGAGTTTTTTTCTTACGGCACTATGTATATCCATTCAATAGGTAATCGAAAGTGGATCAGAATCGGAGGCGTGAAACCAGAAAAACCATTCTCTACACTCGATGCTTTACAAAAAACCTCTTACCGATAATTTGACCAGCAGTTTATTGTTACTTCATTTTAATCGCTATCGTTATTATATAGAGTGTGTGGATACAAAAAATACCGAGACAGACAATATGAACTGGAAAACACTTCCAAATGGCGACAACACAGCATTTACAATATGGACCATAGCAACATACATATCGTTCACATTCATAAAACGATAAAGCAAAATCTCTTCTATGACCGGGTCACGTTCAAACTCCCTCAAATCCTCTTGTTAAAAAATGAAACGATAAAGCTCCATTTGTGGGAGGTCCTAATGTAAACGAATTCGATCAGTGAAGTAAGTAGCAGTAAAAAAAAAGGATAAAACTCCTGGCTTTGATCAATCCCTGAGGGATGCGCCATGCATTCGACATCATTAAGTATTGGTGAAGGTGATTTAATGGATGTCTAGTCTTTACAATGGCTTGCGCTGGCCTACCGATGTATCGAACCAGTGCTGTTATCCTCCCAGACAAATATGGTACCAATTTGCAGACCCCGGAGAAATGGAAGGCTTGGTGGGCTAGGGGAAAGGGGATCGATCACAGGTGTGTCGTAGTGGCGCCTCCAACCATTGTGTCACACGCGTCCTCTTGTTATTGAGAAAAAGTTTTTACTGCCAAAAAACCAGAAACCCGCAGCCAACAAAAAATTGCTCGAATTCGATTAGGTTAGCACGAAAAATGGCGCCGGGAAGGAATGGGTTAAGAGTAATCTCTGTTTTTTACAGGAAGTTTCTCTATATTAGTATCTACAACATAAAGGAAAATATATGAAATAAGCTTTATATTCCCTGAAACCCAGTTTTATAAAAGAAAAAAACTGTTGGATGAACGAAAAGCTCACACAGTTGTACATGACTTGGCTTGCACTCTGCTGGAAATTTCATTATTTCGTGCAGCGAATGAGAAAAAATTGCCGATTTAGCAAAGGCATCCCTGTACTCACCTTTCCAGCAGCCGTGATGGCGTTAAGCGTAATCGGGGTAAGAGTGGTGTCATCGTGTTCAGCGATGACCAGCGTGCTACCAAATCGAGAACACTAAATTTCGTTGATCAACCTGTTGAAAAGAAAATGCCGTACGCTATAGAATGTTTGTACTATTGTCGACTGAGACCATTTCATTACCAATTACGCACCACAACAGACAGCTCGAACTAATTAACAAGTAAATGAACGAATGGTCATAAAACTCATCATCCCTTGTGAACAACACACGGATGGTTCAACGGCAAGGCTTTGAGGAAGGTGAGGTCGCCCAAATGTCAGTCATTGAACAAAGACAGTAACAATAAAAATAAATGAACGTACATAATACTACACATGTTGTTATTCACGGAAAACGAAACGCGATGCGAGTACCTTACAATGGACTACTTTTACGCTGTGACTGTTTATAGAAAGAAACTACCAGCAGACGGATCGTAGCCCAGTTCAGTTCAATATTCCTTTACAGGCTTTAAACTAGAGGGAACTACTTACTAGTGGAAATCTTTTGGAAACCTTACAGTAACTATCGAGGGGTCGGACAGCACAGTGGGTAGTGATGCTAAGGTCATCGCGAGCACAGGGCGGGTTCTACCCTGCTCCGGGCTCACCAGGCCTCTCATTCATTTGGCGTCGAGAAATTGGAATCGGACTTGTCCGAGAAAAACCTGTTATCTGCAATCCAAGTGGCGACGCTCTAGCCTTACTTTCTCAGTGCTACAAGGAGAGTCGACTCCACCAGTATTCAATGACATTCGTGATGAAAGAAAAATCGTCAAGCAGTAGCCTAAGCCACACGTAAAAGCTGGAAGAACTTCGTGGATAATGGATGGGAGGAAACGTATCGAATGTGAGAAGTGCTGGGATCCGCACAGATGTGAAGGCAGATCGTATAAAACAATAAAATAAAATAGTAACTATCAGCACAGACACACACGGAGTGCACATACCCTGTTTCTTAATTAATTAACTAAGGTCTTAATCAAAGAGATGAATAAGAGTACCACCTTATGCACACCGAATAAGAGTTTTATGGTTTACTAATATATCTAATAAAACTGCGTTCCTCAGAATTTAGAGCATGACGTGAGTTCACTTCCATTCATATGTGGAGTGACAAACCGACAGCGACTGTAAATTGCATTCAATTCACGTCGTATGCTGCAAAAAAAAAAACTAGATGTCGTACTAAGCGTTCCCTACACGAAATTAGGAGTCGGACTCCAGATGTTAGATATCTCAACGCAAAGAAATAAAAAAGAAGAACTCACCCTACTAAACTGAGAAACCTTTGAAAGAATTGTCCTAACCGACAGCATGTAGAAACCCGATCTGAAACAAAACTGCTTCGTGGACAATGCCAAAAATTCTACAACGGTTTTTCACTTCACTGTGGATAACGGAGACACTACCTATCCCACACAGTGATGGTTAGCTAAGGGTCACCCTCTTGCCGAGGTCATCCAGGAGCTTGTGTCGCCAGTGTCTGCGAAGAACGCAATGGTAAAGTGGCAAGGTTACTGTGAGTGTTTACGATGAAGATCTGGAGACACAATGGCACTAGTTTCTTGGTCTGGGATTCCAACCAGAAAGCCTTGTCAAATCAGGAAAACACTAGTTGGATGTGCTGACGCTGCACAAATCATAATGAACATGGAGTATCCGGGAACAAAGCAGGTCACTGCAGAAACTAATTCAATCAGATAAACATGAGAACATATATATGAAAGAGTTGAGGGGTCAAAATACAAAGTCCTTCCGAACCACATCAACGAGGAGAACGGATTCTGTGACTATCCCACAAGCTCGTTGCATTAGCATTAGAGCACATTTACCGAAAGAAAGTCCATTAGCACTTAAGAGTTCACGAGTTTAGGAATATATTATAAACTATTGAACAACAATGATGTTGAGATATTTGCAAAACTCCGGAATGCAGGTGTCTGCGGTGGGGAAAAAACACCTGCGGTCCGGAGTTTTGCAAATATCTCAACATCGTTAAAGTTATATTTCGCAATATATACCCTACCGTTAAAAAGAGTAGGCAGTAAAAATAAGTTAAAATATTGAACAATATTCCAGTGGTTCAGAGGTCCGTGGAAGAGTGGTCGATTCGAAGCTGTGTAGATCATATTAGATTGGGAACAAATCCACTTTTTACGGTCCTAGACGTCTGGGAACGACCCATAATTTGCAATCCAATTGGGAACGCTCTAGTCTCGCTATTTCGCACTCCAGTAAGAACATCTATGTATGCATATATGTATATATAAAGACTAAAGCATTCGGCGCTGATCAATCCCTAAGAGATACGCCATGCGTTCGACCTCATTAAGTATCGTTGGAGGTGATTGAATGCATATCTGGCCTTTATAATGACTCGCGATGGCCTACCGATGTATCGAGTCAGTGCTGCTATCCTCTCAGAGAAGTCTGGTACCAATTTGCCGACCTCGGAGGAATGGAACGCTTGGTGAGCCAAGGGCGCGAGAATCGATCTCCATGTGTATTGCAAGGTCCCTCAGATCACAGCTCTGCACGCGCCTATTTAATATATATAAACACATGCATATATATATATATATATATATATATATATATACTTGGATAATACAACCACAAAGATGCCAAGATATTCGTAAAACTTCGACTCCGGACCAGATCGAACCACGATTACCCTTTCCAAGGGACCGCGTATAACATACCGCACCACGGAGTCCTTTGCTTTGCGTTTCTCGCAGCTAGTTCTCTACCTACCTTTCGGTCTCAGCATCGTTTGTGGTTGTATTTCGTATCATATTCTGCTGTAAAAATTGTACTATACATAGAAAATAGAAGGTTAGCACTATACTTGAAAGCTTGGATGGCCCATCTTCAGTGGTTGGATAGTTTTCATTTCCTCGGTTTTTCTGGTTTAGCCATTGTGGTTCCCTGGAGACCAGAGATCAGCCTAACTAAAGTCTGCCCCAGGTCGTCACCATCACATGCACTCGCCGCCTTTGTGGATGAGAAGGAAATTTGCCACCATGCGGCTGGTTTCGTACCAGGACGGTGATGGATCCTTGTATTGGTTTACCCTTAGTTGGGCATCCTGATGGACATGCCGGACTCTCAGCTTGGGAGACTGTACCGGGGGATGAATCCCACCTCTCTACACCGTAGCCCGATGCTGCCTATGCTTAACTAGTACTTTCATAACTTCTTGCCGATGTTGTAAAGATTGCACTCAACAACGTTTATTTCGCAGTACTCAACTTCAGAAGTTCTCCACGATTGGCATCTTTGCAGCATCCCAAAAAGGGCAACGAAATAGCTATATTGATTATTTATAACAAATAATGAGGATATTGTAGATATGGACAAAAATATCAAGTACTATTGACAGGGCTGACAGTAGTCACTATGTGAGAGAAGACAAAGGTTGAGAGGTTATCATGAACTGTAGAAAACCGATTTTTATGAGCCACTCCAAACACTGGGTCTTTGTTTAACAAACCAGGGATAAAATGCAGAAAGTGCAGTGAAAAGCTCTGTAAACCTTTGACCAGTGTACCTATTCCAGGACATATGGTCGGCACATTTTTGAATCCATCTAGGCTGATAGTGTTTGCTCATTTTTATATACACCCGCCGGCGTCGTTTTCGTTTGCCCCACTGATCTAATGTGAATGTTCTCCTGCAGTTGCCAAAACGTTAATGGATAGCTTATAGTAGGTAAGAGGTGGGTCAGTAAACTGACCATTCATTGTATATTCCCTTTATAGATCCAGGTTGATATAGGGGACTGGATTCCGGTTACTACTGCATTGGACTGATTTACTGCCTATGCTCCACCATTTACGTGTGCGTCTTTTTGTATAACCCGATGTCACATATTAAGCAAATCGCGCCAGATTGTAGCATTTGATTCGCCTCCTCTCAACCATCATCCGCGAAAGCCTTCAAATTTTTAGGGATCAACTGCTGTTCGGAGATTTGTGGCCTTCTTCATGAATGCAGTTGATTGCTGGAAGAGGCATCCTGCGATAACCGTGCTAAGGCGTTCCCACATGGACTGCAGATATTGCGTTGAACGCAGAGAAGTGTGGTACATACAGAAACGAGGGGCATGGTAGACCAGAGACGGGACGGGGCGGAACTAGGTCCTTCCTGGTTAGAACGAGCACTACTGAGCGACCCACCTCCTACTTATGTGTTAATAGATTACGTCTTTCATGTCAAATTGACTAAATGTTTGCAAAGGGTGTGGATAGGAAATGAAGAGTTGGTGCGGGGTCGTCAACAATAAATAAGTTCCGCTTTCATTCTGGCTGACGTAGATAAGCTAGCTGAGAATATATTTAACCCCTGCGGTGAAGTACAGTGAGCCGGCGTCACTAAACTTTGGCCAAAAACAGCAAGAATAAAAGATCCTCACGAGAACTATGGTGGCCACCACAAATGTTGAGAGATCAGAGCTCACTAGGAAGATCTGCAACAGACGCTTTATTTGTGCACGTTAACTCCTTTGGATGACTGACGGGAACATAATCGATATTAGGGGATAAGATCTGTTTGTTTTACCTTAGTACTCCATTACACAGAAAAAACATTTTATTCAGAAAAAATGTTGAAATTATGTACATCTTCGGGTTTGAGATTATTGGTGGTCTGTGTGATGGTCTGGTCTGGTCTGGTTTGTCTGATCAAGCACATGCAATCCTATTTTTATGCTTCCTTAGTCGAATTATGGGAGCTTTCGGTAAGCGTTCGGAGGTGTAGAGGGAGATGCGATGAGGATGGGGTAATTCGCGAGAAACAATCTTGTAGAGCACCTCCACGTTGGACAGTCGTAACTGAAATGTTAGCTCAGGATTGGAAAACTATTAAGTGAATTGAAATCGAAACTTTTTCGTCCATTACAGTGTTGTCCTTTCGGTAGTGTAAGATACAATCGGAAAAAAAGCAGTACGTAATAATGGAAAGCGTAGCGCTCCGCGTCGACGAGCATCCTAGTGATGCGCAATGCAATCGGCTTTACTTAGCATCGTTAAAGGTGGTTGGATGCATATTCAACTTATCTTATGACCTGCAGTCCCCAGAGCGAGCAGAACCCACTGGGCTACTCTTGCACGCGACGGCGAAAAATGGAAAATTTACTAGCGCGCGCTCGAGTTACTCAACGATGAATGGGACTACCGGTGATACAAGCGATGCAGTGACCTTCCAATGCCTTTAGTCAGTGACCTTAGCTCCAAATAAGTCTGCTACCAAGTTTCCGACCCTGAGAAAAAAGCAGGGCATGGCAATCGTGAGAACCAAGATGGAACTAATATCCAGATGAGTACGGCACGTCTAACCAGTGCGCTTGATGCAACCAAAGTATAAAGATAAATTCGAAAACGCTTAACGCTATCCGAAAAGGAACTTGGCGAGTGTTTTCAAATGGTCTCTTCGATGAATGTGAGGCCAATAGGCGATTTCAACCACTACCATTATGGACATAATGTCCACTGCTGTCAACAACAATTGCTCGAATAAAAAACGAATCCACCAAAATCCACTAACAGTGCTGTGCCTCATATCAAGCACAAGATGCCTCAACTGTCGTGTGTCGTTGAGATATGGAGCGTATAACAAAAGCAGCTCTTGAATTTCTTCGTAGGAGAGTGTGGAGATGTTGCAACCGAAATCTGAATATGACAGTTTCGATTGCCTCACATCACTCCGACCTCATTACCTAAGATTTCTCTGATCTGTCAAAAAATAATAGAAAAATCAACGCCGTTTT